TGTTCTCCTCCACTGGGACTCTCCATGGAGCTGCACTTTGTAAAGATCCCCCAGGCTCCTGCACCCGAGGCCCTGCCCTGCCACGGAGAACAGGGCCTCCGCGGCTTCCCTCCAGGAGATGGTTGTGAGCATGTGCTACTAACCTGCGTGTAACACTCTAGAAATAACCTTATAGCCTAATATCCTAATGACTGATTTCTAAGGACGCCTTCAGCATTTGAATTCATACTGTGCAATTATTACTTTGGTTTATTTAATGGACTCCTTAAATCTTGTGTATTCACTTTATTTTTTTGATAACACATAATTTATTCCTGTAGATACTAACCACTCTTCCAGCCTGGGCTGTACCCCTCTGATCCATCTCATGCTGGCTGTTTCTAGATGTCCATCAGACCCTTCTGTTGGGTGCGATGGGGAGGCACTGAAAGATTATTTTTCTGTACAATTTCAAAATGTAATATTTTTCATAAGTGATCATTAAAAGTGTTTCTGTTTTTGTATTTAAAATAGTGCCGAGCTAGCTGTGATTCTGGGAGGTGGGGCAAGCGGTAAACAGGAAGGGCTCAAGATCTTTGCCACTTCCTCTCGCTAGCTCTTTTTGTAGGTAAACAAAGCTGTATGCAAACTTTGTGCTAGTAGCGGCCACGGAGCAGCATCGACCATGTTAACAACACTGCTCCCCCAGCCAGGTCAGGCGCCTGATGCAAATGAACTGCAGTCAATCCTCCTTCATCCACAAACCAATGTTGTCTGAACCAAAGAAAGAAAAGTTCAGAGATAAGGGGCTGGCAGGAAAGGAGGAGTAGCTGGAACCAAATTATGGAAGCCACAGAACCTGGAAAGTCTAAGCCAGGGGTGGCCAACCTGAGCCTGAGAAGGAGCCAGAATTTACCCATGTACATAGTAATACGTCAGCAGCTGCCCGGTACCTCCCACCCACCAGCAGCCCCACCGATCAGCGCCACCTCCTCCCTCCTGCACCTGATCAGCTGTTTTGTGGTATGCAGGAGGCTTTGAGGGGGAAGGGGAGCAGTGAGGGCATGACAGGCGAAGGGGTGGAGTGGGGGCAGGGCCTGTGGCAGAGCCAGGGGCTGAGCAGTGAGCACATATATATACACACACACGCCGGCACATTGGAAAGTTGGCGCCTGTAGCTCCAGCCCTGGAGTTGGTGCCTATACAAGGAGCCGCATATTAACTTCTGAAGAGTTGCATGTGGCTCCGGAGCCACAGGTTGGCCACCCCTCTGAGCCCTAGAAGGAAGATGAACTGTTCAGTGTAATACAAGGGGGTAGAACAAGGGTTACATAGGGAAAAGCTCCTATCAGCCACTCAGAGGGAAGGAAAAGCTAATTATCTGCTTGGACCAAACTGATTGCTCTTCTTAGCCCAAGCCAGGCCTCTGATCCACTATTCTCCTTGAAACCAGCCTAATGGGCTGCGAATTGCTGTACAGAGTCTGAGGGGAAATCTTATCATAGAATCATAGAAGATTAGGATTGGAAGAGACCTCAAGAGGTCATCTAGTCCAATCCCCTGCTCAAAGCAGGACCAACCCCAACTAAATCATCCCAGCCAGGGCTTTGTCAAGCTGGGCCTTAATAACCTCTAAGGATGGAGATTCCACCACCTCCCTAGTTAACCCATTCCAGTGCTTCACCACCCTCCCAGTGAAATAGTGTTTCCTAATATCCAACCTAGACCTCCCCCACTGCAACTTGAGACCATTGCTTCTTGTTCTGTCATCTGCCACCACTGAGAACAGTGGTTCCTATCTATCCAGCTGCCCGTATGTCACCAGTGTCTGAGCACCTCACAGCCCCACATGGATTCATTCCCTCAACACTGATATATAGGGCTGCATTATACATGTGGAAAACTAAGGCGCAGGGAGCAGAAGTGAATGGATGATGGTCGTAGAGGGAGTCCATGGCAGGTCTGGGAATTGACCTCTGCTCCTGTGTCCCTACGTCTAGTGCCTTAGCTGCCAGGCCACTCCCCGGAATGCTGAGTGGGTGACACGCCCAGAACTTCAGAGCTATGTGTGCAAGCATCACTCCCCAAAGAGGAGGAGGTCCCTTGTTTGCAGGGTTATTATTACAACTCTAGATGAAGGAGAAACTAGAGCAATAATTGATGTGTCGGTTTGGAGCCCAGCCTGAGAAAATCCCCTGTGACAGACCCAGACCAGTGGGGTACAGGAGTCTGGTAGAGGGCAAATATACTGGTCACTGGATGAGTAGTTTTCTGTTCCCTGAGTGACCAGAGCAGGGGCTGCACTAGAGTAATCAGGAACCTGCTAGAACCAGTTAAGGCAGGCAGGCTAATTAGGACACCTGGAGCCAATTAAGAAGAAGCTGCTAGAATCAATTAAGGCAGGCTAATCAGGGCACCTGGGTTTTAAAAGGAGCTCACTTCAGTTTGTGGTGTGAGTGTGAGGAGTTGGGAGCAAGAGGTTCAAGGAACTGAGAGGGTGTGCTGCTGGAGGACTGAGGAGCACAAGCGTTATCAGACACCAGGAGGAAGGTCCTGCAGTGAGAATAAAGAAGGTGTTTGGAGGAAGCCATGGGGAAGTAGCCCAGGGAGTTGTAGCTGTCATGCGGCTGTTACAGGTGGCACTATAGACAGCTGCAGTCCACAGGGCCCTGGGCTGGAACCTGGAGTAGAGGGCGGGCCCGGGTTCCCTCCAAACCTCCCAATTGACCTGGACTGTGGGTTCTTCCAGAGGGGAAGGTCTCTGGGCTGTTCCCCAACCCACCTGGTGAATCTCTGAGGCAAGAAAATCTGCCAATAAGCGCAGGACCCACCAAGATAGAGGAGGAACTTTGTTACACCCCAAAGAAATGTGCTTTGTGTCAAACCGAAACCTTTCAGTTTTTCTCACTCAACGAAAAAAACAAACAAAAAACCATCTCATTCAACCTGAAATGAGATGGGTTTGGGGTTAGGGTTTTGGATGGTTTTTGCCCCTTTTTTGTTGTTTAAATATAGCAGCTAAATTTCCAAATGAAAAGTCAAAACCTTTTAATTTTGAAATGGTGCAAACTGGCTGGTTGGTTTGTTTAAAAAGGCAAATCTCCTTTTTTTTGGCTAAAACTATTCTCTGAATTCAGGCAGGAATTGTGAACCATTTCAGTGCCCTGAAAAATGCAGCTTTTGGCAAATCTGCTATTCATCAAGAAGCATTTGCCCGACTCTAGTAGCTGCACTTGCCAGCATTGGATGGTCCAACAACTTCCTGTCCACATTGACCTGTCTGACCCTGTGACCTCTCGTTAACCATCATTCATTCTCCATTCCTAGAGCATTCTGATCCACTCTCTCTACTCCCCACTTGTTTTCTTTCTCTAACCAAACCGCTGGGGATAAACTGGCCAGGAATAAATTGAGGCTGGAAATTAGAGGCAGGTTTCTAACCATCAGAGGAGGGAGATTCTAGAACAGCCTTTCCATAGCAGTGGGGGACAAGCCACCTGCCTAGTTTGAAGCTGGAGTTTGAGAAGTTCATGAATGGGACGATATGGCAGGGGGGCCTGGATTTGCAGTGGTTGGACTCGATGACCCAGCCCTATGTTCCTCTCCCACTCATTCCAGCTTTGCTCTGCCCTGCTGCCTCATCTCTCGGCTTGTTGGCTCTTGGAGGGGGAGACAGGACCTCACCTGTTTGTTAAGCATCAGGACATTTAAACCTCCCCACGCCACGGCTGCGTTTGCTGCCTGTGCAAAACTGCAAAGCTGTGAATTCCCTTTTTGTTTCTAATACGAGCTCTTCAATTGGCTGAGTAAAGCAAAGTCTTGCTCTTGGCTCGGTGGCATTGCTTTTGAACGCCGCGTCTGATCAATTCCAAGCAATGGTCGAGGCAGCAGTGGCAGAACCGCATGGACTGTGATGAATTCTCCAGGTTTTGGCCAAAAAAAGTCACTTTTTCGACATTGTCTGCAGAAAAGCCCCTCTTGGTCTGCCCAGCCCTACTGGACACAGAGACAGCCA